TATAAATAAATCCAAAGAAAGTAAATAAATAGTAATCATAATGAGAGAAATTAAAGAAAAGAAAGGTATAAATCACAAACAAAACTATAAAAAAAATAATAAGAGTAAATAAATCAAGAATTTCTTTTTAAAAAGTAAATAATAAATTAAATAATGAATACATAAATAAATCATGAGTTTCTTTTTAAAAAGTAAATAATAAATTAAATAATGAATACATAAAATAAATCAAGAATTTCTTTTTAAAAAGTTAATAATAAATTAAATAATGAATACATTAAAAAATCATGAATTTCTTTTTAAAAAGTAAATAATAAATTAAATAATGAATACATAAAAAAAATCAAGAATTTCTTTTTAAAAATCAAATAATAAATTAAATAATGAATCCATAAATAAATCATGAGTTTCTTTTTAAAAAGTAAATAATAAATTAAATAATGAATACATAAAAAAAATCAAGAATTTCTTTTTAAAAATCAAATAATAAATTAAATAATGAATCCATAAATAAATCATGCCGTGGATGTTGGGTGGCGGTCACCTTAGGGTCAGCGACGCCCCCACCCCCACAGACCCGGGACCAGCAGAAGCACCCCAGGACCCCCAGGATCCCCAGACCCCCAGGACCCCCAGAACCCCAGGACCCCCAGGACCCCCAGGACCCCCAGGACCCCCAGGACCCCCAGGAACCAGGCTGGCAGCAGGGGGGCAGGGAGACCCCTCCCCTCGTCCCTCTGGGTCCCTGATGGGTAGAGGCCCTCTGTGTCTATAGGGGGGGGCTTGCAAAGACCTAGAGCAAGGTCCCTGGTGCGGTCCTGTCCACCTGAGGGGCCCCCTCCCCTGACACCCCTCAGTACCCCCACCCCTCTGGCCCTAATGTGTATAGATGTATACATCCATCCATTGTCGTAACCCCTTATTCCCTAATGGGGACTGGGAGAACTGGAGCCAATCCCAGTAGTCAATGGGGAGAAGCGGGGTCACCCTGGACGGTCCCCAGTCCATCACAGGGACACACAGAGACACACAAGGACCAACAACCACACACACTCACACTAAGGGCAGTTTGGAGTCCAACCAACCTAACATGCAGGTTTTTGGAGGGTGGGAGGAAGCCGGAGAACCCGGAGAGAACCCACAGACACAGGAGAACATGCAGAACCACCCAGAAAGGTCCTGGTTCCCC